TGAGGTGCCACTGTGTTTGATTTATTATGTGTGCAATATCTTAGCAAATAGAAAAGATAACACCTTCTTATTTTATACTCTAGCTTATCAATATCTGTAATTTGAGTTTCTAATTCATATGAAACTATATACTTAGTATTTTCACTTCAGAAACATTTAATTTGAACCAGTGCTACATTCAACATACCACATGACACACAAAAATCGATGTTTGTGTTTTTTTTATATTTGCTTTTAAATTAAGAAATTGGGTAATATATGGTACTAAATTCTGAATTATAATCTATAGTTTGATACCAAAGTTGTTGACATATATTCAGGAAATAGTAGTTCAATAAAATTTTGAATGCGAGTCAACAAATGAGATGACATGGCCTTTCACCTATGACCCATCTCGATACAGTTAATCAATATACACTGACAGAATGTCCAAAAGTCACATTCATCCTAGTTGCAAGGGCAAGGCTAGAAGGTGTGATGTGTGCGTAAAGTGCAAATGTTGTAATTACTGTCATGATAGGGTTACTGTTGAAGTTAATGTAATCACAAAGAATGTGGGAATCCAAGAACAAGAAAACTGTAAAGTAGAAAGAACCCTTTCACTGTCTTAGATCATTTTGTGATTGACAGACTTAGATATGATATCAGACTTCAATCAACAAAAGTCATAATAAATGGTTGAAGTATGCAGTATTCTAGATGCCATAAGTGTGTTGAATACCAATCTTACAATGGAAATGAAAGTCAAAATTAAATAGCCCTGAGCAAAGTTAGCCTTACTTTGGAGATTCTGGGAGATTCACTGCATTTTTTAAAACAACAGGCAAACACTAAGATTATAACCAGTTTTATATGAGAAACTGGTCTAACAGGTTTTCTCTTCTTCAAAGTGGCCACCAGAACATGGCAATTTTTGTACGATCAACTCATGATTTTAGGGTTAAAAGACACATATGCATCAAGATTTTAATATGTAGAGATCAAACCTATTTCTATTATTCAAAGTAGATCTTGTATTAATTAATGATCTACGAGGTAGTTCAAATTTAATTTTTTGTCTAAGCTAATCCTCTTTATGGTGGAAAAAGATACCAGTGTCATTTAATAACCACTATTGGTCAAGTTCTGGGAAGAAATTTTTTTTTGTAAAGATAATAAAATGTTTATTAAATGCAAAAAAACAAAAAGAAAAACCATTGAAATATTTAATTTCTGTTATGAAAACAGCTATTTCTTTATTGTAAATGTAAAATTAAACAAAACTTGTTGGAAAGTTAACATTTTTCCTATACCAAAAAATACATTTCCGATAATACTTATCTCCTATCACACTACGGCTTTATCCTGACAAAAGTTACTCTTCTCTGCCCATCTGAGCATTGGCATGAATCTTACCCCACTTCACTTGCTCCAGTCTTTATACCCCACTATATTGCCCATAGCAACTTCAATCTTGTCTTGTGATTCTCTCCACCCAGATCTGTATATAAGCTCCCCATAATTACTTCCTATTCACGTTTTCAAGGCTGTACAGACCTGAATACTGACCATTGTGGGGAGAAAGGGCAGGAGAGTGAGAAGAAATAAGTATTATCAGAAATACATTTTTGGTATAGGAAAATGCTAACTTCTGAAGCACACTTACCTTCTCTCATGCTATAGCTAGAATCCCCCTACATTAACAAGGTGGAGGGGTCAGTGAGGACAAGATCCACACAGAAAGTGTCTGTGTAGAAAATAGATGTGTGAAAATGAGACAGAGCAATAGCACACTAGTGATGTCTGCACCACTTTTGGAACAGGTATGCTCTTCGCTCAGACAATGTGAAATCTAATACCCGGGCAGTAAAGGCTGACCAGCCACCACAGAGGCAAAATCCTAGCATTGTGAGAAGAAAACATGAATTTAGGAACAACTATACCAGAACTGGCCTGCTCCTGCAATACCAGACACATCTGGTTACAGTCAGTTAGCCAGCAGAGGTACAGATCCCCCACACTTGATGAAATATTGTACATAACTCATAGGCTTCATCCGGGACCCAACCAGGCAGACGAGATCCCACATCTTGGCATTGGAATTATAGGGCTGTAGACCCAAAGCTAGGTCCAAGGCATAGAGGCTAGGGCACAGGACCACAATGTGGTACAGTGAAACCCTGATTTTACACTCCCCAATTTAACATAAATTTGGATATAATGCGATGGGTCATTAACTCTTTCGACACGGGCTCGGTCCCTGGGACCGACCTCATAACCATAACCTCGTTCAAGTTACATACTAATAACTTTTAATATTTTAAGTGTATCTTTACAAAACCCTGATTTAGTGCAACCCCGATTGTTTCATGATGACATTTTATGGACCTCAATGATCGCGTTATAATGGGGCTACACTGTATTATTGGATCCCAACCTGAAAGTTACAGAATGTTGCATGTCGAGTCACCAGAATTAGGAAGAGAAGACAAGCAACACAAAAGTGGACAAACCCTCGCCCGAGCCTGAAGAAGTACAAAATACAACAAACCGAACTTGGAATTATGCAACCTTTCTTGTCTGAACCTGAAGAAACAGAGATTACCCAGCCTGGGATTATAAACAGAAATTCTAACTCATCAACCTGAGAGGCAAGGCAACACTTACTGCCCCCAGAATTATGAAGAGGATGTGCAACAAACTAAGTCCATCTAATGGTACAGGAGTTGATGCTCTGCAGGTGGAATTGTGAAGAGTCAAGTATCCTCTTTCATGATCATTGAAATGAAGGTAATGACCAAAAAGAAGGGCTGCTTAACTCAACTGGGTAGCTAAGTGTCATCCCTGAAGCAGAATTATGAGGAGCTCGTTGCTACCAGCAAAATTTTTATCAGTCTACTAGTAGCTAGTGCAGATTTGGAAAGAAGCATACCTAACCAGGCAACATCTGCCACTGAGTGGGATTAAAATAAAATAATGAGAGGGTCCCTGAAAAAGAGTAGAAATGAACACAGTCGCCTCTCTCACAAACTAAACAGGTCTAAAAAAAGAAAATCATCTAAAGCAACCACATAAAACCATAATTGTAACATTCTGCTGTCGAGAAAAAGTTAATAGGAAGAAATAACATGGAGCTAATATACAGAAATGGGATGGGGGTGCATTGACAAAAATGGAGAGAATCACAAGATTTAACTTGCTATGGGCAATATAGTGGGGTATAAAAGCTGAAGCAAGTAAGGTAAGATTCATACCAATGCTTAGCTTGACAGAAGAGAGAACTTTCGTCAGGTTAAAGCCATAATGTGACAGGAGGTAAGTGTGTTTCAGAAGACCTATTTTGAAATCTCTACTTGTATCTTGCCTTCACCCAATACTAGCATCTTAATTTTTTTTCAAAATTTAACTTGTTATCAATTTTTAACAAGAGCAAATCCTCAATAGCTACGGCACTTGAACTTCTTTTAGGCAGGATTAGAGTAAATTAATCTACAAGACATTTTTTTCCTTTTCATTTGCTATATTTTTGTATGCCAGCAATATCAAGCATGGGGCAGGTGAATATCCAATTCAATTTTATTATTCATCAGGATCTCTACCAGCTTCCCCTCAGATTGAAATTATTTTAGGCAGGATTAGAGTAAATTAAACTATGAGACCTGGGGCATGGTCAAATACATCAATTGAAAAGGTTTGACCTCCCAAGTCCAAAACTAATTAGATCTCAAATCAGTCAAGAGCTAGAAGTTTATACTTGAAAAAAATTCAGAGCCATTCTATGAGCTGCTAAGCCATGGCTAAAATTCTGCAGAATGTGAAACAGAAGTTATAGAACTTGATATGTTTTACATTGTTAATGTCTTATAAACATTAATTTCAGGAGCAATCAACTTGGTTATTATTGTACATCACTAGCTCCTGCCCTGATGTAACTGAATGAATTTAGGAAGAACAGATAGAATGGTGTTTAACAAGTACTACTGAAGACCTGTAGAATTTTTAGCACCGATATTACGTGCATTTTTCTCCAATCCTATGGGCACTGAAATGAATGGCTTGAACTGTTTAGGTTTATTCTTAGTAAAATACTTAATCCAATAAGCATGATAAGTAGAAATGCTCACTAGCTTGCATCATCTTAGTCCATCTTATTATAATACTCAGTCCAACAAGCATGATAACTTGAAATATTTGCTAGCTACCATTAGATCTCAGTATATCTTAGTAAGATAATTAGCCCAACAAGCATGATAACTTGAAATATTTGCTAGCTACCATTAGATCTCAGTATATCTTAGTAAGATAATTAGTCCAACAAGCATGATAACTTGAAATATTTGCTAGCTACCATTAGATCTCTGTACATCTTAGTAAGATAATTAGTCCAACAAGCATGATAACTTGAAATATTTGCTAGCTTCCATTAGATCTCAGTATATCTTAGTAACATAGTTAGTCCAACAAAAACGATAACTTGAAATATTTGCTATCTCAGTATATTTTAGTAAGATAGTCAGTTCAACAATTAGAAATATTTACTAGCTTCCAGAGCTCATTCCAACTCGAGAAGAGTGCATAAACTTTGAAATTAACAAACTTGCATCTAATGAACTAAACTTTGAGTGAAAAAAAAACATCTTGATCCTGACCATCTTTAGTCCTCTACTAAAACACCCATCAAGAACAAATACTCTACAAACCTTAATTGTCTGAATAACCCCTTGTACTCTATCACTTTTCATTAGAAGCCTTGTGAGAAAACCTTTAGCTGCTGCAGTAAGGTGATCAAATTTTGACTTCATGGCTGGATCTAAAGCCTATAAGAAGATAAAATAATATATAACTAATATTCCAAAGTGTACAGCTTTGTAGGATGCACAACTGCTAAATTTGAATATCAAAATTTATCATTATGTCAATTTTTCTTTATAACAGTTTTGTCTTAACCATCGAACCCATTTTAGCTACTAGAGTTCAAGATTCCTGAACACACAGAGAGCTTAAACTCTGTTTTTGAAGGAATTATTACGTTTTATCACACAGTTGTTAATAAAGAAGTCAGTAAGGGAAAACTGTAAACCTGAACTGGTTAACAAATTATACTTGCATACCTCTGGAGGAATTTCAGCTACTGAACTAGGCATTTGTTTGAACTCTGATGGCACACCTGTTGCTTTATCTTCTAAAACTTGAGACACCACTGGATGAGTACTTAAATCCTTAATAACACTGTCAGATGGGACATGAAAGATTGGAGTTTCTTTTGGAGGAAGAGCAGATGAACCGATTTCTTCAATAAGTGATTGTTTTCTTAATGAATTTGCCTGGTTAACTGGAAAAGTGATGTTAGAACCAAGACTGGTATCATTGTGAAAATTCTCAGGAGTGTCTGGTGTTTCCTTTAAGCTTTCTGAAATATTTCCTTCCATCAAAGGTTCTACAATATACAGATAAAAAAAAATTAAAATAAGTAATAGAGGTATATCCCATATACTTGAAAAATTAAATATCTAATAGAAAAATCATGATACAGTAAAACTACTTTCTGCCACTGTTAACATTGTATCATCACCCGATGAAACCATGTTAAAAGTGGTGAAATGTTATAATTTTCCTATACTGAAAATGTATTTCTGATAGATACTTAATGTACTTACCTCCTCTCACATAATTAGCTATTCTTCTTCAGTGTTGCCCTCTATATGCAAAACAAAACTTAATGCATGCCACAAGCCTTTTGCCCCCCTCCATTGTAAATGATTCATTCCAATGTGTCTCCCATGCATATCATCATGAGACAACCCTCATTAAACCATTCAGGAGAATGCCTCCATGGTCCACCACTCCAGCAGATTGAAACTGGAAAGAGGTAAGGATTCCCAAACTCCACTAGAAGAAAGGGGAGGTGAAAAGTGGTGGAGAGTCTGGAGGAATGTCAACATCTGATTCAGTGCAATGGGTGACCACAAAACCCCTAAAAGGCAGACCATACCGATTTACTCAATACAAGTCATGGCAGGGATGCACAGCTATCCCCTACTGCTTTACCCATGTAGTCCTTGGGTGGTACAGTCCAGGACAGGCATATTTATGAAGCAATTTCATCATGAGAATAACCCTCAAGCAATCTTGTGGAACACTTCATCTCAACAGTGTGCATTATGTGGCCATGGAACATATTAAGCATGTAGACATGGCTGAACAGTGTGGATTTTAAAGGTTAAAGAATACCTGATCAGACAACACTCACCACGAAGCAGGATCCAAACAATGAGAATTATGCTGAAAAGGGAAATAAAGCCCCTGAAAATGTAAAGAAAATAAAAATATAACTTACCCAGTCTTATAGTCTCATGGAAGTCTGAAGAATGGCCACAGGTGTAAGATGATACACCAAAGAGGAAGAAATGGCGATCCTATGCAAATAATGAGAGATGAACATATTAGGTGTTGTCCACATGCCCGACTGAAGAATTTCTTTCAACTGACTATGAAGATGAGAAGCCAAAGAAAAGGTAAGGTGTCTAATTTGATGGGAAGACAAGTGGAACAAAGTATGGGAGGATGACAAAAGAGAGGAATAAGCCAATCAAATCAAAAGTCAAACCCAACTGGTAAGGGTGGAAGGAGAAAGATCAAGAGCAGGGGATAATTGCTAAGGAATAAATAAACATGAATGGGCACCATGGATGGAAGCCGTGCAGACAATACAACAACAAAGAGCATGTGCAGGACACAGAAGTCTATTCAGGTCAGGTTGAGGATAAAGGTGAAAAATCGGTGAAAAGGAGGGGTTACCCTCACTAGCAGCCGAGGTTTTAGGGAGAAAAGAAAGATCCATATAAAGGAGAATATATCTAGGATGATAATGGGTACATGAAACATCGATTGCAAATAAAAAGACTCCCAATAACCACAGGCTAAAAGGAAAAGGAAATATTTCTGAAAGGAAAGATGAAACAAGGAGCATGTGGAAAGTGGTTCAAACAGAGGCAAAGTGAGACAATGGAGAACCACATAAACATTCCAGTCTGGAAGGGCAGACTGCCATGGAGGAAGACAAATCTAGAAGGAATGGATCAACAGGAAGAGCATAGGAGAGGTAAAAACAATAGATGTGGGATAAAGCCACATCTCTCGAGGAGAGAGAGGATCCCCAATCAAAAAGCCAAGAAAGAAATTCTGCAATATACGGAACAGTGGACTGATCAGCAGAAAATCCTAGCCCAGAAACCAATGCTTGAAAACATTTCATTTATGCTGATAAGCCTCCATGGAGTAAGGGAGGATGGAATGGGTCAAAAATGAAGCTACACATCAGGACAATCCCGATCTCCTCACCAAGAACCGGATAAAAACCAAACATGAAGATGGAGGGCAGGAAGAGTGGGATGAAGCACCGATGACCAAGGCTGCCAAAGAAGGGAGGGAGACAGAGAAAGAGGTAGTGGAGGGGTAAGTTGGAACTGGAGGAGTCGAGGAAACCACAGCTGAGCCAGTCAGTACGGAGTAATCAGAAGAACTTGACACGGAATGGTATGGATGATCGAAATCACCCAGTGAAGGAGTCGAATGGGAGGTATTTGATAGTTCAATCCTAACTAAAAGCACTGATAGTCCGAGCAAGAGGATGAGGGAACAGAAACCAAAACAGAGGGAGTTTGATTGGTGTGGAAAATGCATCAATGTAAGGAGTACCCCACTGAAGGCAAAGCCATCAGAAAACCACAGGATTGAGAAACCACTCTGTTGGATAGATTCTGTCTGTACGGGAAAGACAATCTTCAACAATATTGAAAGAACCTGGATCACCTCCATCTAGCCAGATATCATCTGGTGATGATTCATTTTTACAATTCCACAGTGGTTGCTTATCTCAATTACCTTCTCAATCTCTGTTTTCACATGTTGGATCTTTTTTTCTGGGCCCACACACAGGATATCCATATCATTGTGTATAAAAAATGATCCACAGCCCGACAGACAGCGAGAAGTTCCAGAGTGTTGATATGATAAGTGGCTGACAAACAAACCTGTGACAAGGCTGCATCTTGACCCAGTAGATCCCATCAACAGAGAAATCATGAATGTAAGACAAGAACCAAGGATGACAAATGAGCCAACGTGGAAATAGTAATGGTTTGGTTTGATATTTCGTTGGTGGTAGTGTCCAGGGTCACTGATGAGGAGTGGAATTCTC